CTGCCACTCTACATGGATTACCTGATGAATTCGAGTCCTTTATTGACTCCATCATGCTGCGGCTCTCTTCTACATCCCTTGATGAACTCCATGGTCTCTTACTCACCAAAGAGTTGTCTATGACCCGTCGCAAGGCTGTTCTTTCATCCTCTGAGCCCTTTCAAGCATTCTCAGTGCAATCTCAGCCTCCCCTGCTTCCTACTCCATCTGCCTTTGCTGCTAAAAATCAATCATTTCATCCTGCTTCTCGATTTAACTCAAATCATGGTAAGACATTTAGAGGTAAATTTCTCCTCAAATCGCAGCAATCGCACCTTTCATAACAATAATAGGGGTAATTTCATCAACAATCGTGGCAATCGCAATTATCAAGGCTTTCACAATTATCAAGGTCCTTCCAATTTTAAAGTCCCTTGTCAGATTTGTGGATCTACCAGTCATGAGGCACTTGATTGTTTTGATCGTATGAATCTGGATATCTGTGGTAGAATTCCTCCAGCCAAACTTGCTGCTATGTGTGTGCATCATTCAGCAAAACCCTCTCAGCCTTGGTTGATTGACTCTGGAGCTACTTCTCACATCACTAATGATGTAGCTAACATCTCTTCTCCTACTCCTTACACTGGAGAAGACAAAGTATACATTGGAGATGGTAAAGGACTATCTATTCATCATATGGGTTCTTCATCTCTGCACACTCCTTATACTTCCTTTAAGCTGAGAAATGTTTTACATGTTCCTTTCATAAAACATAATCTCTTATCTGCTTATCAGTTTCTTAAGGATAATAACTGTTCATTGACTCTTGACCCTTATGGATCCACTGTCAAGGATCGCATTTCGGGGAAGATGCTTTTGCAAGGCCCTGTTAAGGATGGTTTCTATCCTCTTCACAGTTCCACCAGTTCTCCCACTTCACCTTCAGCTTTTCTCAGCATTCAAGCACCTGTCCCTGTATGGCACAAGCGCCTCGGCCATCCTTCCTCCTCAATTTTTAGAAGAGTTATATCCACTAATAATCTTCCACTGCAAGGCCAGAAGACTGTTGATTTTTTCTGCTCAGATTGAGCGCTTGCTAAAAATCACAAGCTTCCTTTTGAAGTGTCTTCTTCATCAACAACTCAGAGTCTCCAGCTTCTGCATTGTGATCTGTGGGGACCTACTGTTACATCTAATAGTGGCTTCAAGTATTACCTACTGTTTGTTGATGATTTTAGCAAATACAGTTGGTTTTTTCCATTGAAGTCTAAATCCGATGTATTTTCTACGTTTGTTACTTTCAAAACCTATGTAGAAAACTTCAGTGGAAATAAAATCAAGATTCTGCGTTCAGATTCAGGGGGTGAATTTACTAGTCATTCTCTTGCTTCATTTCTTCGTGCACATGGTATATTACATCAGTTCAGTTGTCCTCATACGCCTGAACAAAATGGCTGTGCAGAGAGAAAGCACAGACATCTTGTTGAGACAGCTCGCACATTACTTGTTGCTTCTCATGTTCCTCAGATTTTTTGGGTTGAAGCTTTCTCCACTGCAATTTACCTTATTAACAGACTTCCTATTTCTGGTCTTACAAAGTCACCTTGGGAACTTCTCTTCAATCAACCTCCAGATTACTCTAAACTGAAAGTCTTTGGTTGTCAATGTTATCCATGGCTTAAACCTTACACTCCCAGCAAATTGGATGCTAAGAGCAAAAGTTGTGTGTTTTTGGGCTATAGTCTTCAACATAAAGGCTATAGATGCCTTGATCCTCTCACCACTCGGATCTACATATCAAGACATGTTGTCTTTGATGAAACAACTTATCCCTTTAAATCACTGCCACTCAACAGTTTCACTTCAGAAACTTCATCTTCTGATTTTTCACCATCCTTGGATCTTCATTTCAGCAAACATGTCTCTCCTTCTCCTCCAGCCAATAACTCTTCAGAACGACAGTGTCCTTCTGTACCTCAACCTATTACTCAGATCCCATCTTCCACAGAGCCTTCTTCCTGTACTCAGTCCGTGGATCATTCTCTCAGTTCCTCCAGTTCTGTCTCTCTCAATGACTCCTCTCTTGCACCACTACAGTCAAGGCCACCACCTATTTCTCGGAATACACATCCTATGATTACCAGATCTAAGGCTGGTCTTCACATGTCTAGAGCTTATGCAGCAACCAAACACCCACTTCCGGTTGATCTTGATTTTGTTCCTAGTACTTACTTGCAAGCCTCAAAGCATTCTCACTGGAGAGCAGCAATGCAGGATGAATATAATGCCTTAATAAACACAGGCACCTGGTCTCTTGTTCCATCTCATCCTTCTCAGAATGTTGTTGGTTGTAAATGGGTGTTTCGGATCAAGAAAAATCCTGATGGAACCATTGACAGATACAAAGCCCGTTTGGTGGCAAAGGGATTTCACCAGCAAGAAGGAGTTGATTTCCAAGAAACCTTCAGTCCTGTTGCTAAGCCCGTCACAATTCGAATTCTTCTTACACTTGCTGTCCAAGATAATTGGTTTTTAAACCAATTAGACATAAGCAATGCGTTTCTTCATGGTGATTTAAAGGAGGATGTTTATATGCAACAACCTCCTGGTTTTATTGCTCCTACCTCTCCACACTTTGTCTGCAAGTTGAAGAAATCCTTATATGGCCTCAAACAAGCCCCTCGAGCTTGGTTTGAAAAACTGTTTCAAGCTCTTCGAACACTTGGCTTTCATCAATCTCAATCTGATGCTTCTTTGTTTGTTCTTAATGGACCTCAGTTGGTCATTGTCCTAGTTTATGTGGATGACATCCTAGTCACCGGACCCAACTCTCAGCTTTGCCAACAGTTTATCCAACAGCTTAGTACTCAGTTTCCAGTGAAGGATCTTGGTCCTTTACACTATTTCTTGGGGTTGGAAGTCCACAGATCCACAAAAGGAATCTTTTTACATCAGACCAAGTACTTACTTGATCTTCTCAAGAAATCGAATATGGAGGGTGCAAAACCGTGTTGCACTCCTCTTGGCTCTCAAAAGCTGGATCATAGCGGACCTCTCTTATCCAATCCTACTGAATACCGCGCTATAGTTGGTGGTTTACAATATCTCACTTGGACTCGCCCAGATCTTGCATTTTGCTGTTAATCAGATATGCCAATTTATGCATGCTCCCAGAGAACAACACCTTCAAGCAGCCAAACGGGTTCTCAGGTTTCTTAAAGGATCCATCTCTCATGGTTTATGGTTCACCAAAGGTCCCATTAATCTTTCAGCATTCTCTGATGCTGACTGGGCTGGCTGCACATTTGATAGGCGGTCTACTAGTGGATATTGTGTATTTCTTGGTTCTAATCTCATCAGTTGGAGTGCAAAGAAACAAAGCACTGTTGCTCGTTCCTCTACCGAAGCTGAGTATCGTTCCTTAGCACATACTGCTGCAGAACTAACTTGGGTCTGCAAAATCCTCAAAGATCTTAAGTTCTCTCTACCTAAACTGCCTCATCTATGGTGTGATATATTTTCAGCAATCTCTTTGGCATCTAATCCTATTTTTCATGCTCGAACTAAGCATGTTGAGATTGATTACCACTACATCAGGGAGTTGGTTCTTGCCAAGCTTATCAAAGTCAGCTATGTTCGCAGTGATGACCAAGTGGCTGATCTTCACACCAAATCCTTGTCTAAAAGCAGATTCTCTTATTTGTGTTCCAAGCTTCCAATCGGAATCCTATCTGATTCCTCCTTTAGCTTGAGGGGGTGTATTAGGAAGAATGATAAGTCATCCAATATAGTTACTGTTAAATAGTTGTTAAAGCTAAATGTAATTGTTTTTGTTAGTAACTGTGATTAGTTTAGGTAGTTGAGGGTACTTTTGTAATTAGCCTAAGGCAGCTAAGGCTATATATATTGACACCTGTGTAACTGAATTATTCATTCAATACAATCAGGAAAACTTACTGTTGAAGTTTTCTGTTTCTATAATAGCCTCCATTTATACTCAACATTCATTTACATAGTGAAACGGAATTAACACCAGTGTGAACGTAGCCTCAACTTGAGGTGAACCACGTTATATCTTTGTGTTCTTGTGCGTTTGTGTGATTCACGGTCGGATTTACGTTGGTCCAAGATCGACCCGATTTTGTACATCAACATCCTCGATACTGTTTAACCGTAAGTCTCTAAGTAGCAAGCAGCATTTGTCTTATCTAATACGCTTTAATACATACAGATGAAACAGAAACTCTTCATCACATGCTCTCCTACTTTACTCTTCATAGTCAACAAGGAGAAAGTCCGTTCCTATTCAAGTGAGGTACAAACTACATTCGGCATTATTGTTTAAATTGTGCAAGGCATTGCATGGGTACTTGGACAATATGATATAACAAAGTGTCAGTTTCAGTTTTACTTCACCTGCACAAGTCCTAAAGTGATGCACGTTAGTACATTTTAAGTCGATATACATTGTTCGTCCACTTCCTTGCAATTTAAGCTTTTAGGACAATTCTCCAGCTAGGTATCGAATCTCAACTGTCCAAGGCCTTTACTCAAATCTTGATGTCTCTTCTTGTATATTCATGTTTAATATGGAAAGCTCACATGTTGGGCACGCCCACACATAGGTATGGATCTTAATGGGTTTTAAACCTAACATGTTCATAAGCTTACTTCCTAAAAGTTTAAACATTTAGGATAAGTGATTCTCCAGCACAGGAAAGTCCATATCAACTTCAATGGAAACAATCAACAAAAATAATCAGCAACAAAATCATTTACCAGGCATGTCACTTGTTTTGTCAGTTGTAATCACCAAAACAAGTGATTCACTAAAATGACACAGCTTTATGAAACTTAAGGTTGAAAGAATGTTATGTATAAGAGTTGCTAATTGGTTTTATGGGGAGTTTCCATTATTTTTTGTTAGAGGTTTTGGATGAAAATCAGTCAACTGGAATGATGTCACAAACAACAGGAACTTTCTTTTCATTTAATAAATATGCAAATATGCTAAGACGCACCATATGATTTTGTAGAACAATATCCACAAAAGCATCCACAACCTTCAAGTAGTCATCAAGTCCATCATATTCAATAATAACCTGATTTATAAAAAGCATAAATCAGGTTTAAATAAGAAATCTCAATAGGATTCTTTAGAAATGAAGCACTTCGAAATGAAAAATAAAAGAAAAGGGAAGAAGAAGAAGTAAACACCAATGAAATGTTGAAGTTAAGCAGCTAAACAGATCTCTCTAAATACCTGAATGACTTTGTCCACTACAGAATTGACAGTGTCCATTTGAGATTTTTCACACAGCCTAAATCCAAGTAACCTGTAATTCAAGCACTTTCCCAACCAAAAACCAAACCAAGAGAAGAGATTTAAGAGTTCTGCACTGAAGACTTTCTCATTGATAAATTTGAAACTAACATTGAGGTTAACCCACCACATCTTAAGGAGGGAGTCACATCAATGAATGAAGCTGATAACAAAATTTCATGTTCTATACATAACAAAGTTTATGACTCGACCACTTTCTCATGAACAATACCTGATCAAGGGAATCATCCCTGCTGCACTCAATAAGATGAAGGATCTCCACTGCCCTTGAGCTAACTACTTCAGATGGAAGTTGCTTGAGTAGATGATGAAGAACAATCGAGAGACATGGGAACCTTCCAAGCAACTCCTTTTGATTCAACCCAACTCCAAGCTCAACGAGTACATCACCTACTTGTTTCTTTCAAGTTTTGAACAGATTAAAAGTATTGTTACATCATCATAGTATAAAGTCTACCAATTCATGTCACACCAGCTATTCATGATGTGATAGATTCAACTACCTATTCATCTCTATCCAGCTATTCATGTTTTGAAAGATTCAACAGCATTCTCTACGACTATTAGAAATGAAATGAAGGATTTGGAGTGTCCACAATGAATAGGTGACTGCCAACAAAATCCAACATAGTTCAAATGGAATAATATCTATGTTCTGCTTTATAATTACTATAAAAAAATTCATGACAACATATCAAATGCTCGTTAAATAAAACAGCAATATGCTCTATCAATACATAAGGTTGCTTCCTATATTTTCACAACTAGATATATCCAGGGCAATGGAATTTAAAATGTAGCGATACACAGTGCCAAAGAGAATTATGATTGCTACTAGAAATTACAATAGATACCTCAGACGCATTCCTAAATATGCATTTCATGATATACTCAATGGTTGGTTCCATCAGACTAACAACCAATCTTCTGTTTTCAGCTCCATGAGAGGTTTCCTGTGCTGACATGACCCTCATCGACACAATTTTCAAGTCATTCACACAGGTGAGCAGACATCCTGTAACATAGTCGTCAAATATGAGACTAAAATATTTGAGAAACAGCCAACACCTAAATATATCTTTGTTTTAAAAGGAAGTGCGTCGAACTCAAAATTGACACAGTTTACATTCCACCATAATCTCTGCATTTTACTATACATTGGATTTTCACTTCAAGACATGTCATCCTACTTGCAAATTCATTATAGTGATGATTGGAATAAATGAGAATAAGCATATAAGAGGCCACATGTCTTGTGAGATGAGCACGTATTCTGGCAATTACATATTATCGAATTTGAATCAAATCCATCATTTATTATTAGTACAGAAAATGTATACCTGTATCATGTGAAGGCAACTTCCTCATGCAATGAGCCATATACAGACGGCAATAGGCAGAAGCCAATGGATCTGCTAACCCTCTTGTCATCATTACCAAGCGACGGAGACTGTTGAGAGGTTGGTCAACTAAGAAACGCCAACAAGGCAACAATGCCAGCTCCAAATAACTGAAATTCAATATCGAATTAACAGCCAGAGAATATGCCATATTTGAAGAAAGGGGATGGGAAAGAGAGAAGAAGCAATAGAAAATTATTGCATGTAGAAAGCACATGTATGAAGAACTTATAATGCACTGTTCGAACTTCATTTCTTGTTTTTATTTTCAAGGTCTAATGCTTTAAGCTGTAAATATTGGTCAAAACTTTTCTTTCTCATCTTGTGTCTTCTCCAGAAAAAAGTCTGGTCCTCCTTTTACTTTCCTCTATTTCTTTAATACATCATCAATTATTTTATTAAAATAATGAAAGATTACATCATCATTAGACAAAAAGTAAGGCTACTTAGTGCTACATCAACTTTTTAGGAGAGAGCGACATGGAGGAAGAAGGAGAAGAAGAAGATGATGATGATGATGAAGAATGAACAAAGGATCATAAACATAATGAGCAAGAACTTACATGCGTGGAAGAAGTTCTCGGACTGCACCAATTTTGCAGAACCAATTGTTGCAAGTTTCTTTGGCATCAAAGCAGATGTCACTTACTGAAAAGTTCTCTGCCATAAATCCATTCAAATTTCAGAAAAAAAATTAAAATAAAAAACTGATACATTAAAAATGACACCACCATTCCAAACTTATTGAAGTTAATTAAATTAAAAACACTACGTAATGAAGAATTGCAGAAATATTTGCAAGTTCTCAACGGCATTAGTTATAAATTGTTTCCTTCTCAGGCTTCCCTAAGGTTACAAGTATCTAACAACTGACAACCAGATAGCTCTGCTTTTTTGCAAAATGACCAAGGAAGTTAAGTTTCACTTTCAACCATGTCAACATGCATAAACTGATCTTTGCAGACCATATATCAAGTATGTGATACATAGACATATTCTGCGAATAACTTAAAGAGTATTGCTTAGTAAAAAAAAAAAACAAATGATGCCGAGGGAGAAATTTCAGCGATACCTGGTAAGGAGAAGATTCTGGTACCATCTTCAGTAAATTCAGCTTTCAACTTGATTCGCTCCCATACCATATCCCCAAGAATATCCAAAATATCCGTAGCAATAGCAAAGAGTGTAGGATAACATTGTAAAACAGATGTATCCATCAAAAGCCTAGCAACCTGTAAAAAGAAATTGCTTTTAAAATTTAATCGCATCCACACAAACCAGCATTACATACACTCCCAAACCTATTTCTCCCACTGAGATGAAGTTGCAGCAACTAGTAATATGATCTAAGGACCAATCAAACTAATTTTGTTTTTTTGGGGAGAGAAAAGACAACCCAGAATCTTAAAAAAAGTGGAAGAAAAAACTAGTTATATTGTGTAAATGAATGGAAATCTTCAAGCTAAGTTATAAGCATGCATAGCTCATTTAACCTCTGAATGGCTTAATTCTCAGAGAAAATAATTATTAACACAAACTGGTAATCCAATGACCTTTCAAAACTATAAAACAAAAATGACTTTTTACATATGAGGGCACAACAAAAACCTAGTGTTGTATGCCAAATAAATGGAAATCTTCAGGCTATTTAATCTCAACTACTTAATCTTTTCTTCTACCACAAATTCTTCAGGCTATCAGCACATAGGATATCAGGCTACCAAAAATAAATGGCAATGTTCTGGCTATCAGCACATATAGCTAACTATTTAAAAGCTCAGCTGCTTAATGTTTTCTTCTATTACAAATTCTCTCCAGGTAAGATTAATTGGGTAAACTGAATTATCAATTAAAATTTACTTTTATTGATAATTTCAGGGATGTAACACGATCATTGGCATGCCATGCATGAGTTAATTCAGCTTTAAGCTCATGCAACCGAGAAACATATTCCTGGCCTGTGATGACCTTGCCCCCCTCTTCTGCAAATTTTTCTGGATCTTCCAGTTCCTCCAAATGCATACTTGTCGAAGATTTCTCATGTGCTGTAAATTCGTATCAGTAAAACAAATCAAAGTGATTATCATAGCTGCTCTAGTTGAGCAACAAAAATACTTGTGAAAAGAATATTTGTTCCAATAAATTATAGGAACAAAGAGGTTGACATACTTTTCCTGCCTTTCACTATCATGTCGGACATCTGTAAGTAAAAAGAAAAAGGAAAATAAAAAGTTAGAAGATAGGTTACAGCTTTCAGTGAGAAACTTAAGGAAGTAAATAGCTGGATGAGAATAGAAGGTAGGGAACACCAAAATTTCCTTTTGAAAACCTAAGAAAGGAAAACGGTTATAGAAACTGATATATGATAAGAACATTCTGAATACCCATATCATACTTCATGGTTTCGGCCAACAATAATTGGAGTAACATTCATCCAGGAAACGCAAAATTCAAATTTATTTCAATATAGAAAAAATACAGAATATGAAAGTGAGGTCAGAACACAAGCCCCACCAGCTAAGATGCTTAACGGTTGTGTTTTTGAAAAATAGCTAGCAACAATTGAAAAAGAATTCTTCTAGGAACCCAGACATCGAACTCTATGTCATTACAAAAATACACAGAAACGAAACTGATGTCACAAATGGGCTCCACCATCTAAGATACGACCAAACATGCTCGCTAGCTTGAAAATTACTTAAGATGACATGAAGCCTCAGAAGATTGCATACTTTTGAATATAAAACAGCATGGGGAACTAATAAAATCAAGAAGCATGAAATGCTTACTGAATAAGTCAAAACTGATTTGGAGACTGGAAACCTCTGCATCAGGGATCTCTTAAAAAAGGCCCATTCTTTGGACGGATTTTGAATAGAAGCTTCACCAGAGAGTCCTGCAGTAGAACTGGTTTCAATTTCCACCAAATCCTCTCTAGAAGCTTCGGCATTGTTATCCGACCTTCTGAGGGGGTCAAAGTACTCCTCATTCCCATCATCCACGACCTCAACCTATATTAAGGTGCTGAACTTTGTAAATTCCAAAATTTTCATGATCAAAACACCAAACAGCCAATACATACACCATTAGCATTCGAGTTTCTTAATCTGATGCTATTTGTTTCCTTTTTAATCCCACACGTTTTCGTCACAAGGTACCAAACGAACACAAACAAACACGCGAACTACAACGAAGTGAAGAGATGGCTATGGTAATTGACAAAGTAGGAAAACAGTGACATCAAAAATCCCATATTAATCTCTAACACTTCACCAGACCCCCCCAAAAAATTATCTCAGTAACCAAACGACTAGAATTCCACTCCTTTCCTAGCCACCAAATTTTTGTCCTTCCATTCGGCATTCATCAAATATTCCAATACAATTACTGTATTTAACTTAAAATTTTGCTCCATTTATTGTAATTATAGGTTTCTAATCACATTAGTACTCTGATTAACTATAATTCGACATGGAATTATAGCATATGATAGCTCAAATTTAGCACACCGGATTAGTATCCTGATCAAGAAATATTGGTGATTTGAATGTCATACTCTATCCTTGCAACCAAACAGATGCGCAGAGTCAAGGGCAATAAATTACGAAAAATCGAGAGTGAGATGGGTGTGATTTGGACCTGGAGCTGAGATGGAGAAGATGGAGCGGAGAAAGGGTGGCTGTCCGCGAGTACGCGAGGAAGCGCGTGGGCTTCTTTTTCGGCGATGTAGTTGCGCGGTCTGAACTCCATGCTCAAGCATCGACAGCACAGTAGCCCGCTTCCTTTTCTTTGGAGGAAGATGGTATCTTGCGACGGCCGTTTTGCCGTTTTTTCCCAGAAGTCTTTTTCTCGGGAAAATGACCATAACAACAGTAGAACGTCATGTCGTTTAGTTCCTGCATCATACGACTTGGCTCAGTGAAATTGTAAGATTTTTTTTATTATAAAAAATGTAATGAAAAGGGCCTCATAATTTTTATTAGTATAAAATATTTAACAATTTTTTTTTTTAATTTAAACACAAAAAGAGAGGGGTGACATTTTTATAAATTAGTTGAAGTTTAGTGACAAATTTTTTTTTAAGTTAGTTAAAGTTTAGTCACACTAACAACTGTTTTTTAAGAAATGTTTCTACACTTGTAAGTGAGAGATTTTAGTTTTCAACTCACCAAAGGCGAATTTAAACCATATTATTGTTGTTAGTTCATTGTGAAGTTAAACTCACAATCTTTCCTTAGTATAGATAATATAATTAGACAGATGCATTAGTTGGACTAGGCCCTTTAGTTATTCTTCAGACTAAAATTATAGTTAATAGAAAGATATTGTTGACCTTCTTCCTAATTATGACAAAAGAAAAATAATAAATACACATTATTTTTAACTTCTTACTCACCCCTAGTTACTTTTGGGGTAATTTTGTGAAAAATCAATAGAAAGTTATAATATTAACAATAATTCAACAATATTCATGTTAATTATAAATAGGTCAATCATGTATTGTGACACTTAAATGCATTTTTAAAATAAACAAAAATTACAAACTCTGCCACTACAACTGTCACCCACTTCAACTAACACTTCATTTCTCATAGTTTTATATTTGGAATAAGTCAATACATATCAGAACTGCAATGTTATAACATCCCACATCGCTCAGGGGAGTGGATCCTGTAAACCTTATATGTATATTTTCATCTCTACCTAGCATGAGGCATTTTGGGAGCTCATTAGCTTTGGGTTCTATCGGAACTCCGAAATTAAGCGAGTTCGCGCGAGAGCAATCCCATGATAGGTGACCCACTAGGAAGTTCTCATGTGAGTTCCCAGAAACAAAACCATGAGGGCGTGGTCGGGGCCCAAAGCGGACAATATCGTGATACGGTGGAGTCGAGCCCGGGATGTGGTAGGGGCCTGGGCCAGGATGTGACAATTTAGTATCAAAGCCAATCCCTGGCCGGATGTGTGCCGACGAAGACGTCGGACCCCTAAGAGAGGTGGATTGTAACATCTCACATTGCCCAGGGGAGTGGATCATGTAAACCTTATATGTATATTCTCATCTCTACCTAGCACGATGCTTTTTGGGAGCTCACTGGCTTCGGGTTCTGTTGAAACTCCGAAGTTAAGCGAGTTCACGCGAGAGCAATTCCATAATGGGTGACCCACTGGGAAGTTCTCGTGTGAGTTCTCAGAAACAAAACCTTGAGGGCGTGGTCGGGGCCCAAAGCGGACAATATCGTACTACGGTGGAGTCGAGCCCGGGATGTGGTGGGGCCTGGGCCGGGATATGACAAATGCAATGTCTGTTTTCTGATTCTTTTTTTTTACATTTAGATTCAGACACTGCATTGCAATGTCATTTTATTGGTTTTGTTTTTTGTTTTTTTTATCACTTACATGCCTCCTACATGTTTCTTTGTACATTTGGATTCAGACACTGCAATGCAATGTCCGTTTCCTAATTCCGTTTTCACTTTTGGATTCAAACGTTGCGTTGCAATGTTCGTTTCTTGGTTTTATTTTTTTCATCACTCACACGTCTCATATACTTCACACCTCACATGACTTCTGATTTTTACATTTGGATTCAGACATTGTAATGTAGTGTATGTGTTCCTAGTTCTGTTTTTTACGTTTATATTCAGACACTGTAATGCAATGACCGTTTCTTGATTTTTTTTTTTTTTTTTTTTTGACATTTGGATTCGAACACTGCAATTCAGTGTTCGTCTCCTGGTTTTGTTTTTTACATTTTGATTCAAACACTACAATGCAGTGTCCATTTTTTTGTTCCTTTTTTTTAGTTAAGTAGACTCCATATAAACGAAGGGTGAAAGAGTGATAGGATATACATGTTCTAATTATTTATAGGATTTAAATCATCTCAAGATCAATTCTATAGGAATAGAAATATAACGGCTGAAGCCTCTTCCTTTGCCTCTCTCCGCCTTAACTCCTCTTTCTCCTTCGCACCCCCACACCCCACCATTGTTAACAAACCCCAAATACAATTGCAGGTCATCTGTGCTCTGAGTCTGATTTAATTTTTCGCTATCCCTTACTGTTTTAGCTTTTTATTTGTCATCTCTTTCTTCTTCTTCATCTTTGAGATTTCTCTCTCTATAATTCTTCCATAGTTATGAAAAAAGATCTCTGCAACCAAAAGACATTGGTTTGCACAACCCCTTTCTTTGTTGTTTCATTAACATCGGCTAAGATTTTAAGGTCAAGGGACTTGCAATTGAGGATATGGTGGTGGTGGGGCTTATTTTGGGGATGGTAAGGTGAGGGACCTGCAATTGGTGGTTGTGGGTTGGGTGGGTTGTGGCGGTGTTAGGGTTGATTTTGAGGTGGGGTAGGATTTAATTTGGAATTTGGAGGGTTGGTGGTTTGAGGTTGAGAGCCTTGAAGTGGGGGAGAAAGAGAAGAGTTGAGTGGAAAAGATGAAGGATAAGAGATTTTGGCCGTTGGATTTGTATTAATGGATGAGATCCATCGGTCCAAAGGATCTCCACAAAATTGATCCGAATAAGATCTAAATCTGTATTTATAATAGCTTAAGCCTATGTGGCATTTATAGAGAGAGAAATAGAGAGAATGATGGAATAGTCAAATTCTAACTATTTATAATGACTTAAAACCTATGTGGCATTCATCATTGACCAATGCCTAATTAATAAAAATATGTCATTGATATATGAATTAATTGTAAAGTTTTTATTGACTTTTGGCTAAATTACCTTTAATCTTGTCATTATTTTTCATTTGATTTATTCGATCCAATGACTAAAAATATAAAGGATTGTGTGAGAAACTAAAAATGATATGTAAAAACCACTTCCCTTACAAAAAGGTAACACGATTAGACTAGTATATTGTGTAAAATGTTGTAGACCTATTTGATTGAACGATCTAGGGTTTAGAAAGAGATGGGGGTTCGGCAATATTGAGAGAGAAGAGAGATTGATTTAATTGTGAGGTGTGTTTGATTCACCCCATTGTGCCTTTATTTATAGTAGTAGGAAGGGTAAAACCTTTCCCTTTAGGATTACAATATTTAATAGGTAATCTTATCTTAATAGGAATATAAGATACTTTCCCAGATTCCCTATGATTTACACAATTACATTCCTATTCTAAATATGATTGCAACACTCCCCCCGGAGTGTGTAAATACTCAACAAAAAATCGCATCAGATCTTCAGCAGATAAGGTAGAATAGTTGATGAAGTCATTGGCACAATAGGTGATCGCGAGTCTCAAATTTAAGTGAAGTTTGCATTTGTTGTAAAACTCATAAAACCTCGCTATGGTAAAACCTAAGGCATGGGGAAAACCCATAAACTAAGGAGAAAAGTGAGAAGTATGCATAATGTCTAAACGAACGTCAAACTGGACAAAGGTAATAAAATCAACGAAGTATGATCATCCCAGGATGGGTGCCTCATTAAAACATCATTAGGTAGCAAAAACCCAGTGGGAAAAAATGCTACTAATCGTAGGAAAAATAGTACATTAAGATCATGTAAGTATGCTTCTAGATACTCCCCCTGAGTTAGACATAACTTCTAAATAAGATAACTACAAGCGATTCAACTCATATAATTTACGCATACTGATTCCTTAGACGAGCTTCTGAAATGTAGACTTAGGCAATGACTTGGTAAAGAGATCGGCTAGGTTGTCTTGGGAACTGATATGCTTGACTTCAATGTTCTGATGCTGCTGTTACTGGTGTAAGTAAAAGAATTTCGGCGCTATGTGCTTGGTGTTGTCTCACTTGATGTATCTCTTCTTCAGCTACTTGATACATGCTACATTGTCTTCAAAGATCTTCGTAGAAAGGTCAACGACTGATGTTAGACCACTAATGCTTTGAATATGTTCCATAACTTCTTTCAGCCAAAAGCACTCATGCGATGCTTCATGTAGGGCGAGAATCTCAGCATGATTAGATGAAGTCGCAATTAGAGTTTGCTTGATAGACCTCCAAGATATAGCGGTGTCTCCAACAGTAAAGACATAACCCGTTTGAGAACGTGCTCTATGTGGATTAGACAGATATCCAGCATTTGCGTAACCAACAAGGCGAGAATCAATCCGAGAACCATAGGCGGCGACAACACTTAGAGATTCACGGGTATAGAACAAACCCAAATCCGTAGTACCTTTGAGGTAGCGGAAAATGTTTTTAACACCATTCCAATGTTTGCGTGTGGGCGCATGGCTGTATCTAGCCAATAGATTCATAGTGAATGAGATGTCGGGTCTAGTGCACTGAGCCAAGTACAATAAAGCCCTAATTGCACTTAGGTAAGGAACTTCGGGTTCCAAAATCTCTTCCTCATCCTCCTTTGGACGGAAGGGATCTCGTTTAACATCTAGAGTTCGAACGACTATGGGTGTACTCGAAGGTTTCGCTTTATCCTCATTAAAACGTCGCAACACCTTTTGGGTGTAGTTCGATTAATGTACTAGGACTCCATCCGAACAATGCTTGATCTCCAGGCCGAGACAGGATCGAGTTTTCCCAAGATCCTTCACCTCAAATTCTGATTTCAAGTGTGTAGCAATTTCTTTAAGCTCTGTGGGAGTCCCAATGAGGTTCATGTCATCGACATAAATTGCAACGATTGCAAATCTGGCATGTGACTTCTTTATGAACATGCATGGGCATAGTTCGTTGTTCACATAACCCTGACTTGTCAAATATTCACTTAGACGGTTATACCACATCCGTCCGGATTGTTTTAATCCGTAAAGTGACCTCCTCAACCTAATTGAGAGAGTGTTCCATGGTTTAGAACTATTTGAACCAGTCAATGGAAGTCCTTATGGAACTTTCATAT